ATCATTCCATCTAAAATAAGCAATAGTCTCATAAGCATTTACGGAGACATCGTGTAGCTGAATGTCACAAATATATTCTTGGTGCAATATTTTCTGGGAGGTTTGAAATCAGCTTATGACAGCACACTTGTCTTGGACATTTGGATTTGGATTGTGCATGTGCACATCTTTACCGACAATATGAGGTTGCATATCTCAAGGAGGATCTAGAGGTGATTTCGAATTTAGGGTGAAAGTAATCAGGTTCAATTCAATGCCGCGATTACCCAGGCATCGGTTTTCTTCTGAAAGATAAATGTCTCCGAACCGGATATAATGTCAGGACAGACAATAATTCTACTTTCTGCTTTGATAAGTTTGTTGGGGATTAAAATGGACACCAATATTACTTGGCACAATCATTCCGCTGAAATTGCAAAGGCTTGGAACACTGTTCCGAACCAGAAAACTATACACACTTCAGCAACTTTTGATACTTTATAAAGCTCAGATCAGACCTTCTTTGGAGTATTGTCTCATGTATGGAGCTCCGCCCCTAAGTATACCCTGAAGCTGTTGGATTCCATCCAGAAAAGATCCATCCGCCTGATTGGGTACGAACATCACTTGCAACTTTGATAGTCTGGAACATCGAAGAAAGGTTAGAGATTTGTTTCTCTTTTATAGCTACTTTCACGGGAGGTGTTCAAGTGACTTGGCACATATGACTCCACCACGAGCGGTACATATCAGACATACGCGATGGTCTGTGGCTGCTCATCGTTTTGAGGTTCTACTCAGTACACCTGTTCAAGAACTCTTCTATTTGGAGAACTGCGTTAATGTGGAATAAACTTCCAGAGAACGTTTTTCAAAATGAATTCAATCTCCAGCGATTCAAATCCAACGTTTAACGCTACTTTCGCAGAATCGTCTTATGGATGTTCCTGTAGTTCTTGCGTTTTTTCTTTAAAAAATCTCCATCATCCCATCCTAATTGGCTTCCTTACGTACGTGCCTTGTGAAATCATTTCACACTGAATGATGAGGTTCTCAAGAAATCCAAGAGAATACTACAAATTGGTGATAACTCGGTTGTATTTACTGAAGGCGAGGGTTCCATTGAAGTTTATGCAGTTGTAAATGGTCGTCGAAAACTGCGTAAACTCGAAAATCCTCTATTTCATCAGTACGGACTTCCATTGTCTAATATAATATTAACTGATTTGAAATTCCTGAAAGAATCTGTAAAAAAATTAAAAAGTTTAACCGAAAAAATAACAATTTTTAATCTTTTTAATTTTTCTACAGATTCTTTCAGGGATTTCAAATCAATTTATATTATATTAGACAATGGAAGTCCGAACTGATGAAATATTGTCGAATGGTATTATAATATTTCATTTCCAATCCAATCCCCTGAGTTATCAAAATTAAATCACTCAGTTCATCAAAACCTACTTTATTTTTATTGTCTTTCTTTATACTTTGTTTAATATTCAATCATTAATTTTTGAAATCAATAAACTACGTCGATTATTGCCTACATATTCAAAGTCAGCAATAATTATTTTTGAGAACTGACTGGAGAGTTGGGGATAATCTTCGAGTGGGGTGCAAAGTACGAGGGTGGACTGAAAAGATTCCGACCTCAACATGAAGATTGGAGCACTCGTAAATAAAAGTTAGTGAATTTCGTTGTTCATCTATTGACAGTTAGTCACCAAAGTTTCAGTCATTTTGGACGCGCAGTTATTATGTAACAGTCGTTTGAGTAAGTTGATATATTTTCGTGAAATACACCACGAAACATCGTCAACTACCTTCAAACAAATCGAAAATAATCTATATGTTCAAAAACTTGGCAAGAGTTTATTTTCAATGGGAGCTAAGTGATGTTCGACAATAAACATTTTAAGGTTTTTGTGGAGAAACTCTGGCTGCCTTTGGTGTAAAACGAACAAATCTTTGTTATGAAATAATCTTTGAAAAGACAACACTTGAACAAGTCAACGTAGCTGAAACAAATCAAATTCAGTTATGGCCCGAACGTATGGGTCATGTTAACTTCAAAACGTTGAAAGAAATGGCCGGCCGTGGACTTATTCCAGGTTTGAAAATTTAAAAATCCATATGTATAAACTATACAATTACCTAATACATTCCAAATCCCAATACATCTAGCCAACTTGATTTTCCGTGTACTGAATAACAGGAATAACTATGTATCAGATAAAAATTATCAAATATGTGGTCCTGTGATGGCCACTAAAGAAACACTGTTTGATATAACCCTTCCACCAAAAAGTCAGATCCTAGCTTAAACAGATGATATTGTAATCTTAGCTAAAGGGCAGCGCTCCAAGGACATGGAAAATAAAATTGATATATTTTGGTGAAACTAAGAGAATGGATGGAAGAACAAGGACTAGAATTGGCAATATCCAAATGTGAAACCATATATTTCCATCCTGATAAAAATCGAAGGCTCCTATGAATGTAACAATTGCGTCAGAAAAAAACATGAACAAAAAGGGAATAAAATATTTGAGGATAATGCTCACCCAGAACCTGAAATGGGACGTACACATTCAACATTTCAGCAAGAGGGCATTAATTACAAGGAATAAACATCATAAAAAGTTTTTGCAAGACTTGGTGGGGTGCAGATTCCAAAAGTATGCTCATGGCATCAAATGACATTTAGAATTTGGGAGTAAACTTAATATTCAATCACGGACTAAGAACGGAAATAAGTATATACACAAGACATCAAAATCAATGATGTCAGTTTGAGTAAAAAGGACACAAGTATAAGACAGAATATAGCAAGGAATATAATCTAATATATACAGATGCATCCAAACAAAACTATAAAGCAGGTATACGCATACACAGAGCAAACATTAATTTTTCAGCGAGAGTAGCTAACCTAGTTCCTATATGCAACGCAGAACTTATCACACACAGGAATGATGATGTGTATAACTAAGGAATAAAAAAAACTCATTTTAAGTGACTCCAACACAGCATTGGTAACAAGAACTTTGGTGCAAAAACAGATTACATTACGATGAAAATTAAATAAACCAGAGAGTTGGCTGAAATTAATGACATTGAGTTTGAATTTGCGTGGATTCCAAGGCATTCAAACATTGATGGAAATGAGAAAGCTGATGATATAGCAAAGTTTGGCACGATTCCTAATGTTCCACTGAATATCAATTATTTAGATAAACATTCTCTAATACCAATTAATAGAAACAATACCTAGAATGATTTTGAAAAACGAATGGCAAAAGACATACAACTTTAAGGAAAAAAATCGAAAAATGACAGTTGGAATCCCCCAAAAAAGCATGGTATATAAAATTCCCAAAAATGTACAGACGGAATATCACACAATAATTAGAATGAAAACAAAACACTGCTCCACCAAAGAACATTTATATAAACTCAATTGTATAGATAATCAATATTGCGAATCTGGGAAAATAGAAACATTGAATCACATATTTTTCGAATGTTTCGAATGCTGTCCCGAACATTTTCATTGAAAACGAAGTCCAAGCCCCATTAACCATTTAAATAGTCTTAAGGAAACTTGATATAAAAATAATAAATTTGATTAGTAAGCATATTGATTATAACAGTATCAAACTATAGAATACTCTCAACAATAATGACCTGAAATAACTACTATCTCCACTTATAACATTTTCACACATCCTTAAATCAATCATAACCATACCCATACGTGTATCCACTAAAAATTACAGCACAAAAGAACTCTAGTAGAAAAAGAAGAATAACACAAATAGCTAGCAAAACAAGAATGTTTTTTTTTCTGATTTGATTCGGGCGTTGCTTAATGAAGATCCATAGCAATTTCATAAACTACACCTTACGATTTGATCTCCACAAACTTTATTGAAAGAAATATATCACGACATGTTTCGCTAACACAGTAGCTTTTTCGTAGTTAATTGAATACTATAAGGTAATTTTCACTCTGATATTTATATACCCTAGGTGATCACAATTGAGACTACCTAAGGTACATCTTCGATTATGATCACCTAAAGCGTATTACATCAATTCTATATCAATAGTAATACTTCATCGGTTTTTAAGTAAACAAGCTCAATAATGGTGATCTATTTAAATCCAGTTGATCATTCATTAGAATGTTTGAATTTTTAAATTTATTTATTTTCTGTGTGAAATTTCGAAATATGATATGATTTTCTTCTAAAATATGTTTTTTTTCATCATCTTTGCAGATAGGTAAGTCACATATTCACTATCATCAGTAAGAAGTAGTCAAGTAAAACGATGGGCAACACCTGGTTGAAAAAAATAGCACAAATGTATCAAGTTGTCAACGGAAACCATCCGCAAAAATATGATATTAGTCAGACGATATTTGGTTTGAGGTATCAACGAGCACAGAAGCATCTTTAACTTTCTGCAGGACATTCCGCAGTCTAGAAAGTATGGTAGAAGCAACTAGTTGCTATTGATTTCCTGTCACAAAGTGTTACCTGTCCTTGCACTTGGCTACATCGTAGTGATGATTGTATATACACTGTTGATAATCTGCATACTTGATTCAGACAACCAAATGCTATCCATCCCCGACACATGGCTAGACTGCACCGACAAAAGCCAAAAAGTGTACCTATGGGTTTGTCCTAACGTTATGAGTCGTTGTCAACATTTTTTCCTGATTTATAACATCCACTTGATGAATTCCTTTTTTTATAATTAACCCTCTATTCGGTTGCCCCATACATAGAACAGTAAATATCAAAGTTTTTCTGATATAATCCATAAATGTGAAGTTTATTCTTATTGATAACTCCGCCTCTGACAACCTATTACAATGATTGATAGAAAAAATACTGAAACGTCGTGAGTCGATAGTCAGGAACTGCTTTATTTTTTTTTACCTTGTTATATGCCACTTGGAACGACTTTTCCAGTGAATTAGATAATTCTCAATCTCCTTCATTTTGTAGCACAAGACGAAGGTAGGTTCAAAGAAGAAATTACTCCCGTTCCTATCAAGGAAAAAAAGCAGAGCATAAATTTTGAAATTGATGAACATCCAAGACCTCAAACAACTATCGACGGTTTGAAAAAATTACCTACATTATTCAAACAAAATGGATTGGTAACAGCAGGATCTGCATCTGTAAGCCTGCCAAATATTTAGCATTTCACATTTGTGTTCAACTTTTCTTTTTCAAGGGGATATGTGATGGTGCTGCTGCTGTGATATTGGCTAGTGAAGCTGCATTATCAAAAAATAACCTGAAACCTATGGCTAGAGTGGTAGGTTATTCTGTTGTAGGCGTAGATCCATCTATAATGGGCATTGGTCCTGCACCAGCTATCAAAAATCTCCTTAAAGCTACAGGAAAAACATTAAATGATATTGACTTGGTTGAGGTGAGTTTTGTTTCTATATTTATTAGCCTATTATAATCACCCTATTTTATAAGCTTCATTATTCAACCAAAAAATAATTAAATTATCATTAGGCAAGATTTACTTTTGTCGTCCCTTCCATGACTTTCCCTAACAAATCTCCTGAAAGAAATTGAGCCACAGAAAAAAGATATTCAAGAAAGAGATGATTTCATAAATAAAAATCATCGAGAGATTTTGAAAATGAGGTCCCAAGTGCTCAACAAAACTACATAAGTAGACTTAACAAACATAATGGAATTATTTCTCAGTGAGAAACAATATTCTTAAACTTGTTCAGGAAAATGCAATCCTCCAGAGAGAAATAAAATAAGTATCAGGAAGATCTTATAGAGCTGACAGTTACTAAATAAATCGTGGTGGTAGACTCTCAATGTAGATGGAAATAAGGAGTTGAAACAAAAATAATATACTGTTATTAGCTGGCACTCATGGAAGACACATGCACAGTATCTATCTACTGAATTTCAAAAGTATTCAGTTCAATCCATCATTAACTCTGGGGTCAGTGATGACAAACTTACAAGAACCAATTTGCGTGACTACTGCATATAAGACATAGTCATGCTATAGCCAAATAATCTGAACTGTTCACTATCAAGCGATTCCTCATTAAAGTCAAAGATAAAAAGACAATAATAATAATAAAATTCTACATGTTCAATGATTTAGTTCATAACCAATATGTCTGTGAGAGTAATATCTCAATTTAAAAAAATATATGTGTACGCTCAATGAACACAAATACAAGTTTCTGAAATGCAATAATTTTTGAATAAGAAACTATGGGTGATATTACCACAGTTCAAGCAAAATAACTAACTTTTATCTTGATATCTCTAATCATGTAACTATACTTTTCAAGAAGAAACAATCTTCAATGATAAAGACTATTGCATTTCCTTATTATGTTTGAGTATTCAGTCAGTTTATTCTTCAAGATGATCAAAATTCATCAGAAATAATTTTGCTCATATGGAACACTGGCTTGAAGACCAGAATTGTTTAATCTCATTATCGACCAATTGTGATTTAGTACTGTTGACGACGATAAACAATTTGAACACTTAATTGTATTCAGTAAAAAATGCAATGTGTATGTGATTTGCAAACAGGGTGGGGCACCCCATACGACATGGTCGCTGTAAACCAATTCATTAATTTTTTCGGGAATTTCTCCATTTCATTATATGTATATTGATTAAGACTGTAGAAGGGTGGCTCAAAAAAGTGTGACATGTCAAAGTTGTATTTTTTAAATAGAACACCCTGATTTTGTTACACCTTTGAATATGCTTTCTTATAAGGTACTAAGGTACCTAACTATAACCGTTCTCAAAATAATTTTAGTTAGCGAAACGCACCGAGAGACTAATTTTGTTCTGGTGTTGGGAAAGTGTTTTCAATAGAAACTGATAATACCCTTGAAAAGTAGAACTTATGACAAGGTGAGTCAAAAAAAGATACATCTTTCTAAATACAATCTCACGTATATTCATATACAAAGTTTTTATTAGGGGTAAATCAAAAAATAAATATTGATGTTGAAGGAAAAGCATATAACAAATGAATACATAACTTTACAATATGTGCTCAAATAACAATAAATTAATTAAATAAAATTATTCAGAAATGTAATTGATGAAATACCACGGTAGCCGGTCAGTTCGACGTGGGTGCTCTGTTTGCTCACTCAAATCGACCGGTGGTCTATTCTTTTTTCTTCATTCTTTTCTTTAGTCAAAAAACCACCTGCAAATATCCAAATTAATGGATCACACTATTTTCTTTCGGTTATGTTCAATAACCCCTGAATTTGATAATAATAGTCATGATTTTGTTTCAGTTGATAATTTCTATGTATTTTCAATTTATTTCTGGTGAGACTTAGAAGTGGATTTCATTGGAATACCATTTAAAAATGAAGCAAACCTATTACTTTACCGTAAAGTGAAGAGACAATCTATCACAGTTCAATGTACTAAACAATTTCCAAAATGTGTTTTTCTTAAAAAGTTCTTGTGAATGAAAAGATTATTATTACCCGACAAAAGATCCGTCAATGTTGACATAATTTTTGTCAAATTAGGAAAGGAGACTGACCATTACTTGATAAAAATTAAAAACAGTATCGATGAATATAATTAAACAATTTTCACATGTGTCATAGAATATGCCGAATACCATCGTTTTATGTGAAAATATCACCAGCAGCACAAATTTTTCAAAAGATATAATTTTTTAAACAAAATGATGGAAGGGGTTGCAGGGGGTGTATTTTTCCGCGACAAAATCGAGGATCGTATTATGATTTTTTTTATCAAAATGATGGAAGGGGTTGCGGGGAGTGTGTTTTTTCGCGACAAAATCGAAGACCAATATTTATCATAGAATACGCCGTATACTTTCGTTTTATGTGAAAATATCCCCAGCAGCACGAATATTTCAAAAGATATGATTTTTTTAATCAAAATATTGGAGGGTGCAGGGGGTGTATTTTTCCGTGACAAGATCGAGGACCATAAAGGTATCATAGAATACGCCGAATACCATCGTTTTATGTGAAAATGTCCCCAGCAGCACAAATTAATCGAAAGATATTAATTTTTTAATCAAAATGAAGGAAGGGGTTGCAGGTGGGGTATTTTTCCGCGACAAAATCGAGAATCATAAAGGTGTCATAGAATATGCCGGATATCATCGTTTTATGTGAAAATATCCCCAGCAGCACAAATTTTTCAAAAGATATGATGGAAAGGGGTTGCAGGGAGTGTAATTTTCCGCGACAAAATCGAGGATCATATAGGCATCATAGAATACGCCGTATACTTTCGATATGATTTTTTTAATCAAAATGATGGAAGGGGTTGCGCGACAAAATCGAGGACCATAAATGTGTCATAGAATATGCCAAATACCATAGTTTTATGTGAAAATAACCCCAGCAGCAGAAAATTTTGAAAAGATGATTTTTTTATCAAAATGATGAGAGGGATTGCAGGAAGTGTGTTTTTTCGCGACAAAATCGAGGACCAATAGTTATCATAGAATACGCCGTATACTTTCGTTTTATGTGAAAATATCCCCAGCAGCACGAATATTTCAAAAGATATGATTTTTTTAATCAAAATATTGGAGGTTGCAGGGGATGTTCTTTTCCGCGACAAAATCGAGGACAATAAAGATAGAATACGCCGTATACTTTCGTTTTATGTGAAAATATCCCCAGCAGCACGAATATTTCAAAAGATATGATTTTTTTAATCAAAATATTGGAGGTTGCAGGGGATGTTCTTTTCCGCGACAAAATCGAGGACAATAAAGGTATCATAGAATACGCCGAATACTTACGTTTCATGTGAAAATAACACCAGCAACACAAATTTTTCAAAAATATATGATTATTTTATCAAAATGATGGAAGGTGTTGCAGGGGGTGTATTTTTCCGCGACAAAATCGAGGACCATAAAGGTGTCATAGAATATGCCGAATACCATCGTTTTATGTGATTCGTATCTGAAATCCATGGTTGCCTTCACATTGGTCCAATCACACTGGAAAATATGAAGGAAAGACTGGCTGCCTTTCGAAGAGTGACGCCTCTGATTAAATCAGAGAGAGAGTGGATATTTGTATTCAACAGGATGGTCGTCATTTCGAGCACTTACTTTGAATTAAATACATTTATGTTTCATATTTTGTTGTGGTTTCAGTTGAATAATGAAAAAAGTTGTATAGTATCATTAAACATAATGAACTACTGTCAGAATATGATTGTAAATCATAACTTCATTTTAGTGAACAGTCAATAAGAATTCTGTGAGCAAATGTCGTTTCAAAGCTACCTTGATACGAATAATTTATTGAAATGAGATTCACTAATTGAAAAAGCCAATATCTGACAAACTATTTAGATTAGGTATAGGGAACCCTATACTATACTACAGGGTGTTTCAGAATTCGACGGACAAACTTATACCACGTCATTCCTCTTGCAAAATGATATAAGTTTGTCCGTCGAATTCTGAAACACCCTGTATATGGAAATGAAACATAATTGAATTTTATTTTGTTCAGACCAAAAAAATACAGGATGCTCTATTTGAAATAATAACAAAGTTATCGTTCTCCTAAACTATAAAAAAGTAACAATGATTTTTGAACATTCTGTATACTCATGTGGAACGGGTTTTATTGATATTAACAGCCTAAAACCTGTTTTATGCTTGGTAAGAATTCGAAGGGATTATTTCTATACATTTCGATGTTATTTAGTTTCTAATTGTTCCTAACATTTTCATAAAGAAATCAATAACTCAAGAACGGTTATAATTAGGTATATACTGCCTTATTCGAAATCATTTTATTTTTTCCTGGCCTATTCGAAAGTGTAATGAAATACAGGGTGTTCCATTTGAAAATTACAACTTTGATGTCAGTTTTTTGAGCCAGCGTGTAGACTCCAAGATAATTTCCTTCTACAACCTTACCAATATACATATAATGAAATGGAGAAATTCCCGAAAATTTAAATGGTTTGGTTTACAGGGACCGTGTCATATGGGGTGCTCCACCTTGCATATAAGGCTCCATCAATTGATGTCAAAATCGTTTTGTACAAATTAGGAATGATACTGTCGAAATTGACAACCAGTATAATGATTGCGTTAGCAAGTGATATCAATAATAATTTTGCCGATGAAGCATTTAATCATATAAAAAATTTAAACCATCTCATAATGTCATTTGATTTTCACGTGCAAAACACGAGAAAATATTATAATGAACCTTTTTTGTTAAGGATTACTATAGCAGGTATTCTAGTGTTTATCGCATGTTTTATATTTACAAGTTTTTACTTTGTAAACTTTGTCAATAAGAATAAGGACAATACAGCATATTTTGATTAATTAATTGATTTGGTGTCACTGTTTAAAATACATTTAGTACACTTACTTTTTTATCAATCAGAAACACTGTATACAAAAAATCTATTATCAGTCCATGCCAATAATTGTTTTCTC